ACATCTAAAGGTTTACTGTGCTTGTTTTTTGGTGCTGTGTCTGATTTTTGTAGGCTTCTCTCTGATGCTGCTTATGGTCTGTCACCTGGTCGCTACCTTTTTGTAAAGTCCCAACCTCACCTGTGCACTGTGTCTTGGAACGTCCCCGACACAGCAAAATAAGAAGAACATTAATAAAATCCAGGCAGTGGGCAGAATCTCTGCAGATACATATACCACCACACACTGAGAGTGGCTCATAAGGATCATTGAGAGATATTACTTCTGTATGTGTGTATACATCTTTTTTAAAGAAAATCCTGCATAGCATACCTTTGATAGTGACTATATTGGGTAAAGCAGGTATAAATCATAAGTAGCCAGCCACACGTACATTTGACCAATAGATTTGTCAACAAGCTTTTCTTTATTTCAGTCAAACCTCACTTGACTTCCTTTAAACCTTTTCAGAGGGAAGGAGCTCACCATATAACATGTTGTCAGGGAAAGTTAGGATTCAAAAGTGTTTTTGGCTGTTCAAAAAACAGCCGGCTGTCACAGGGAGCGGAAGACATTGTATTGTTCCAATCTGTGGACAACAGCACACATTTAACAGACAGTCTCTCCTGGAAGAGGTTCACAGTGTTGCACTCAGTGGTCACATGAAAAGTGACAGAAATAGTTGTGTCAAGAATGAAAAAAGAGTCCAAACCCTGGCTCCTTTCTCACATCCACACAGCTTACCAATCAATGCATGAAGTGGTTGTGAATGTTGGATTGTTGATTGTGGAAAGTTTCTGAAATGGTCGGACACAGCCTCCCGAATCCAACATTAGATGTGTGTGGGAGTGGGGGAGGCTATTTGACGATCCGACATGCAGTTCTGATGGAGCGTATACTGGCCCTTTAAGTGTATGAGGAGCAACAGGAAATGGCCTCTCAGTCAGCTGTTCTTCAGAGCACACACTGTGTGTGAAGGGTTTTAGGTTTGTCCCATGATTGCTTTCCATGTTGAGGCTTGCAGCTGTGTGCAGTTAGTGTATGGAGGTGGCAGGGTGGTGGTCAGTGTTCAAGCAGAGTCCTCTATAGCTGTGCTCTGTGGTTTGTCATCTGTCTCTTAAATCTTGTTCTGTATATTCATCATTTTTGAAAACATATATTCACTACTAATCTTTTTGTAGTTCAGCAACTCTTTGCAAGTGAACAAAAAACTCATCTCATCATATACTGTGTACAAAACTGTAGAAGTCAGTATGGTATAATTACCAAATTAATGGTCTTTGAAATGTACTCTATAGCCAATTTTACACTGCCTCTTTAAAGCAGGAATTTCACACCGTTATACCTCCTCACCATTCTGTATATAAGGTACAATCACGGAATTTGGGGACCGGGTTGTCAAACCTTTAAGCCAGCATTAGAGTAGTAAAAGAGCGGAAATAATGTCTGTATAAACAAGATGGCTGGCAGGACGGGATCATGGGTGGCACAAGTGTGACATTTTGACGACATGTTGTGACCCAGACACACAAAACTGTCATCGGAGAAGTATTGGTGACAAGAGCTGGGCTTGACGCTAACTTTTTTCCCAAGGAGCACATGTGCTCCTAAGTTGAAAGAGCGCACAAAGAACTTTAGGGGCACAATGTAAATTGATCAAATAATGTGTTTTCCGTAATAAACGTGATGCAAATAGACATTTACAAGCAAAATTATTTAATGAATTTGTATACAAAATGTACAGAAAGGTAAAATCATCGAGTTTTGAAAAAGTATTGCTATTTAATTTTGTCTTTAATGTTATTATCTTATATATATATTATCTTTGCAATATGATTATCTTATATAATGTTATTACTATCCTAAAACATTCTTCAGGTCCTCTGAAACTCTGCAGGACTTATTTCCACCCTGCCCAGCAGCGGTACCATGGCGAACGGTCCCAAACTGCGGGGAGAAGGGAGCAGGCTTCCCCGTAGGTCCGCCGCTTCCTCCACACTTTGACTTATTTCCATGCTGCCGACAGTGGGACTTATATTCATTGTGCCGACAGTGGCTTGGAAAACCGCCCATAACCATGTCACACGGGGAAGAGAGAAGGTGGCTGGAGTTCCTCTAACATTTGTGGTTAGATTATCATATTTTTTTAATGACAAAAATATAGGCTGCTTTGGCTGATTTTTTTATGCACACATGTGCCCCTAAATATTTTTTACAGTTCGCACACACCTATTTTTAGTTGCAAATGCGAGTGAAACGCTCACACTGTCGAGCCCTGAAGAGCCCCCTGCTGCATCACCTCATGTTGCTGTGTCTCAGCCAAAAAGCTGCACATGAAAAACACCAAACCAATGGCTTGTTGGCACGTATGGTGGCGCCTGTGTGAGGGGAAATACCTTCTATACCAGCAGACAGTAGTCGTCTGTAATGCTCATTCAAAAAGAGAAACTGGAAGACCATCTTGATGCTAGTTAGCCAGTTAGCACATTAACAACACCATCTAATGCTGAAAGAACAGAGTCAACAAGACAACTAACAATAAACAAATCCAAATCAAAGAGACACTGTCAGCAAAGACTAGAAAATAATCCAACTAAACAAGACACAGGGCAACATCTGACCTCAAGGATCCTACAATGAAGCACATCCTTAATATAGGAAGACTATACGGAGACACAACCAATCTGCTGCGATTGGAGGTTTTCCATATAATTCACGAAGGGTTGCCGTATCTTTTTTTATGGTTTACTCTTATTCCTCAACCAGTAAGTTATTTTCTCTAAAAGTATACTGCTATTAATTTCAGAGTCACATTCCAGTTAGTGGGGGGACATCTGATTTCATTTTAACACATTTTTTTTAGCAATGACCAACAATATTTCTGTGAGTCTTATAACATGGCTATGCTTTGTCAGGGTTCATAACTGTATGTCACAGTGTTCATTGTGAATGGAGCCAGCTCAGGGTTACAGTCCCTGACCCATATACAACCACCTGTTCTCACTTGGCCAAATTTTCACACTGAGGTCACATGATAAGACTTGAGATGTGGGTGAAAGGTCCACTTGATGTCGGGGTCCTGCATCACCCATTCAGGTTTTATTTTGCCATAATGACCTGCTTGCTGCACATTATCCCTCACATAGACTCCAAAGTTCACCTTATTCTCCTCCAGCTCTCACTACAGAATTTAGTGTACATTGCCTACATCTCTGCATACACTGTTTCACCCAAACTATACTTTCCATCGATGTTTTGGTTCAGTCAAATTCAACAGTGCTTGTTCTGTAAGGATTTGATGGTTTACCTTTTTTCAAAAACTCTATTAATCAGTTTAAGTATGTTGTCTTCAGTCTACTTTATTTCTTCAAAAACTTCTGCATTCTCATTAACAGTGGAAGTGTGTTTATGTGTGCAGGCCTTTTCATTGTAGATTTAAACTAATATTCATATGTCCTCCCAGCGTAAAGCAACAGGTGGTCTCCTTTCTTTTTCCCTTGAGTTAAATATCAGATGTTGTGGAGCTGGCTGAGACTGTGTGGTGGTTGTTAAGTGCCCTTGCATGGAGGACATTGTCAGATTCATCACAAACATTAACCTTTCCACTGACATTGCATTTATAGTGTCTGCATGCATTTTCCCACCAAATGGGTTGGACATGGAACTGCAAAGTGACATTTAACAACAAGCCAGAGTATGGGACATTTTTTGGGACTTGACTTAATTTGTGCACTTAGACCCCATTACCACCTGGTGTTTATGTGTTCTTCAGCCATCATGTCTGCATAAGCAAAAACACATGTTAATGCAGGGGTATTTGCAGCAGAACGCATTGTTATTGGAATGAGATTAGATCATCCAGACCACATATAGAGGTGGTCCGGGCCACATTATGGTTAGATCTCAATCAGGTTTCAGTGCAGTACGTACAGTTTGGCCATAATCTTTGGAAAGAAATTAAACACACAGGTTGAGAGGTCATCTAACTGCAGCTCTTCCTGCTATCTCAAGTTGATGTCCAAAATGATTAAAAACACATCAATGAGCCACACAAATGCACTATAGTTTATTTTGACTCATTCCCACACAGAGTCCTGCACCGGTCCATTTTTGAAAACCGCACCTGCCCATACCTGTAAAGCTCAGTACCAGAACAAACCTGTTACTAGAGATGTAACGGTTATCATTATTATCGCAGTATTGTTCACGATACATATTTTTACCTGTTACACAGCTTTTGCGGGCTACCCGTCAGGTTCCCATGGGTACCCAACTTAGTGTAGGACTCTTCTCCCACATACACAGTCCTGATGCCAGAAATACTCAAATTTCATTCTGTTTGAGTAATGTTTGATAAGAACTTTTGTGACCAGCTGTTTTAGGAAACTAATGAACCTTGTTGTAAAAATAAAGCAAAACATTTGTGATCTGTTTTTAACCTAGTGGGCTTGGAGCTGAGTGTGACAGACAGTTGTGCTTTCAGAAAGTTTTCATAGTGCCAAATGGATCCACAGAAAATCTTGGGGTAGCACACCAAAACCAAAAGCCACAACTGAATTTCAAGAATTCGATTATGCTGTTGAAGTATACCTTTCGTGCTAGCATTAAAAAGAAGCATGCCACAGCCTCTTAAAGACAGTAAAAATCGTCTCGAATTACTTTCACTAGGGGGAGAGGCATGGAACCCCATTGCCGCCACTTGGGGAGGCCACTGACCGCAGATAGGGGTTGGGAAGTTAGACAGTGTTGAGAAATGGTCTAATAGTTGACTATGGTTCTCTTTGAAGCTCCTTCTTGGCATAGATAGTTGAATTATATTACATTTGATCAAACTGCAGTATTTCACATTTGCTGCTGAGGGTCTATTTCAGTACATATTGTGCCTTAGTTTGGGTGGGGATTTTATTTCTCATGTTTCTGAGACATGAGACTGCAATGTGTTCATATGCCCTACAGATCCTTGTTAATGCAGATTTTCAAGTAGTATTACTCAAAAGTGACTGGTTTCTGTCTTTTCACAGGTGATGTGTCACCCATCAGCATGTCCCCCATCAGCCAATCGCAGTTCATCCCTTTGGGAGAGGTATTGCTATTGGCTATCTCTGCTATGAACTCCGCCCACAAGCCTGTCACTCAGGAGGCCCTAACTGAACACCTGCAGACATGTTTTCCAGGTGAGTCGAGCTCACACACCAGCTCAGTCAACAGCTAACACCACCCATCAGCCTCTGTCAACTGCTGCACAGCAGTTCAAGTCAAAACAGTTTGACAAATGTATTTCTTAATGCCTATATATGTGACTGCTCTAGTGACTAGTTCCACTGCACACTAGTGGATGAAATCTGAGTTAGTATTTATTTTTTTAATGCCCAAGTGATAAAATAAGTTGGACTTGGTGAACAAAGGCCTTTCGACACTCAAGACCACCCATAACATTCAAACACTGCTGATGTATCAATACATCAATAATGTGACACCATTAAAGGAATCTTCATAATGAATCATTAGCATACTGAATTTTCCAGATAATGTTTCTGAGTTAAATAGAATTTTGTTGAAAAATGTGTTGTTGACCTGGGAAGTGAGTAGACAGGGTGTCTGTTCCCTGATGGACATGGCAGTTTCACCTGGAGGGTGTTATGTATGCAGGAGTCAACACATGAGTGAAATACGAGTGAGGGAAGCGAGGAGCCACATTATCTGAATGGAAAGCACCACAAGCAGGAATATGAGGCTAGTACGAGCAGTGTTTCCACCTCTAAACAGCTCCAGCTGTGTTCACTGAGAAGCGAAGTCAAGGAGGTAATGCTGTTAGGCCTCTGTCAGACCTTGCTTCATCCTTGGTGGATGGTGCTGCCTGGGAAACTTAGGGAATTTACCGTTTTTATTTAGGTACGACTGATTTGTACTCCACTTGAGTATGATTGCCCCCCATATCATATATTTTTGATGTTGTTCTGTACCTTAGTACACTTATGTCATCATCTTTGTTACATTTTTGTTGTGCTACAGTGTAGAAAAATGACATAGCCAATGGACACTGCTGCCTCGGGACCATCATCAGGACACTTTGCCTCCACAGTATCTCTGACTGCAGGTCGGGGGCAGCAGCAAAGCTGGATCTAGGTCTGTGAGGGAAGGGCTGCGCTGCTGTCTGATGACATCAGACAGCAGCGCAGATGACCTGATTCGGGCACAGATTGGCGTACCATGCTCAGGTATGTTACAAAATGTTCACACTAATCAAACAAACTGGACTTTGGGGTCAAGTGTACTCAGATCCAGGCCTGGGTCCTTGATGTGAAAGCCCCCTCAGTTTCAAAATTAATAGAAGAAAAAAAACTTAAACGCAAAACCACATTCGGGGAGGCTGTGGCTCAGAGGTAGAGCTGGTCGTCCACCAAACAGAAGATCAGCGATTCGATCCCCAGCTCCTCCAGACTGCATATTGAAGTATCCTTGAGCAAGATCCCAAACCCCAAATTGCTCTCGATGATGCTTCCATCGGTGTGTGAGTGTGTCAGTAGCCTCGGCCACCAGTGTATGAATGTGCGTAAATGGGTGAATGTGACTCATAGTGTAAAAAGCGCTTTGAGTGGTCAGATGACTAGAAAGGTGCTATACAAATGCAGGTCCATTTAACAAAACTTTGTTTAAATGCCTTTAAGCATATGTGAAATTAAATGCTGTAAAACTTTTAGACCTTTTCTTTAGGGCATACATCAAGAAAGAGAGAGAGAGGATGAGGGCGAGAGACAGGGAGCATGCAAGTATGGAATGAATAGTAGACACTATCCAAAAATGTTATTTTAACTTTATTAATCATGAAGCTGATTGTTACTCTTCAGTTCTCTGGTTACTCAAAGTGATGCTTCATGGAAGTAAAGATTAATAAGCTGTTGTTTGTCAAGACGTATTTTTAGCTTTCTCACCTGTTGCAATAAGGGCAACCCCTTGTTTCGAAACCACTGGAATAAACAAATGAGGCACACTGTGTTAACTGATGAGCTTATGAAGTGTTGCTGATTGAATTTTGATCCCAACACAGAGCCAGGCTAGCTGTTTCTCCTGTTACCAGGCTTTATGCTAAACTAGACCAAGACCACATTTGAATGTGGTCTGAGTAATTAGACCTCCAAATGCATTTAGGACGCATTGGTGCATTCACACCTGTGCTTAGAACTGTCCATTTGTAAACTGATCACCTGAGAGGCATGTTAATAACAGGTGTAAACAGGGCCTCTCCTCTCTCATTCAATCACATTTTCGTTACAGCACACCATGTACTGAGCTGTACTCGAATAACATCAGCCGTCATTCTCAACCCATGTTTTCTGATTTTCTCCAAGACAATTAATTTACAGGCTCCATAAACTGTATGCAGTGAAATATTACTATGAATGTGTAAAAGTTTAGAAAATGTGCATTTTTTCCTGTGAAATAAGCATGTGACCTCTTATGACCCCACTCCTCAAAGATTTGAATCAAGAATCATTAAAAACCTGAATTGACAGCAGAATCAAAATTTAATCATAACAACCAAATACCCAACCCTACCTGCTGTAGGAACTGAACAGAAGCTGAACTGTACCTGATGACGCTGAACGCGAGACGCGTTGTTCCCTCAAATAAAGTATAGTAAAGTCTATGTCAGTGTGTGCAGGATTTGTTTGTCAAGCTGATTACACACGTTCCTGCTGCTTACCAGCACCTGACTACCTGTGGCTGTCCAAGGAGATTTCATTAATTCCAGAAGCTGAACTGTGTTTATATTTATGAGTGAAGTTTGCAGGGACCTAAGTAGAGTCACTGGGCCTTGTGCAGCAACATTCTCTTAAATGTCTCTTATATTTTCCCTTAATTTTCTGTTAAGAGAAAAAAAAAATTCCAGATGTACCAAACGTTCTCAACTATCCAAATCTGCTCTGACCCAGGTGTGCCAAACCATGAATCCCACTTGATCGTAAGTTACATATTAGCATAGGTAACATGCTAAACGCTTTATAAGGGCAGGTGTTGTGCCGTGTGCAAAGACTCTAATACACGTCCAAGAATTGAAGAGGTGCCACCAAAAAGGCTGTAAGAAGAATGTCAGCAGTAGTGAAATCAACGTTCTGTCAAATTAACCTAAACAAAGTAAATGTGATGTGTCAGTATTGGTGTTACAGGAAAATCAAAATCCCAACAATGACATAATGTTGTATCAGCAGCAGTGGTGGAGTAAGTATTCAGATCCTTTACGTAAGTAGAAGTACTAATACCACTCTGTAACAATGCTACTATGTTACTAGTAAAAGTTCTTCATTGAAAATGTTACTCAAGTAGAAGTGCAAACAGGAAAATGTATTTAAATATTAAAAGTAAATTTACTCATGCAGAACAGTTTAAATGAATTTAATACATAAAAATAACTTGACTGAAGAAATTAGCAAAATAGTTGCCAGTTGATTTCCAAATTAATCGACTGATCGTTTCAGCTGCACTGTATATTTTCATATTGCTTGTGTGCAAAAATAGTGTAGTGGAGTAGAGGAAGACAGTGACATCGGGTTAAATGCTTAAGTAAAATAAAAGTACCTCAGACTTAGGGCTGCTCGATTATGGAGAAAATCGTAATCGCAATTATTTTGGTCAAAATTGAAATCACGATTATGCGGCGCACTTGATGACTTATATTGTTTACACGGCAGCATGTCATTTCTATCTCTACATAGTGTGTAGATAGTGCGCACACGCACACACACACACGCACACAGACAAACCTCCCTCGTTCTCCCTCTGCCATTTTCTGCATGTTGTGAAATCTTCCGTAATCACCTGCTCCTCCATTATTCATAGTTCACCTACTTGACTGGCTCGTGTAGTGAATAGAGGAGAGGAGGGGAGGGGGCAGTATTGCGCATGCACAGCTTCCGTAGAAGACAAAATAACATCTCCAGGTGTCCGTGACCAAAAATCGCTTACCCTCGATTTCATTAATTTTGAAATCGTTTGTTCTCAAAATCGTAATCGCGATCACCAGATGATTAATTGCACAGCTCTACTGAGGCTTGTACTTCAGTGCAGTACTTGAGTAAATGTACTTATGTTACATACCACCACTGGTCAGCAGAGGGTCACACAGTAATTGAAACTATAGTAACTGGGATCAATGGACAAACTGGAAGCATGTCTTTAGCCCTGAAATTAAATAAACCAATCATTATATTTACTCTGAAACATAGTCTAAATCGGATTATATGAAATTCATGCATTTTTAATTGTTCCATAAATGTAAAACTTAAGTTTCCTTGAGTTAGGCAACAGTTAGTGGACTGTGAAAACGAGATGTTTTTCTCTTATCATAAATTTTCTCTTAATGAAGGCGAGCAAATATAAAATGAAAATAAGGTGAATCCGTTTAACCCATGGTTATTAACAAAATAAGAACAATGCGTGGATACGAACAAAAGTAAGAGAAAATTTGTGTGTATATTGTTTCTTGCATGGGGCTCAGTGTTTGTCAGTTATAATGAAATTAAAAAATTGAAAGTCCTCAGCACAGTCCAGTGATTACCCTTGGCAAATGTGCTAATTAACTGTAAAGTAAATCGATCATTCTTTAGGTCTATAATGTCATGTTGTGCATTTTCAATTTTCCACTGCTCAAGTACTGCTTTCAGTTCTTGTTTTGTCTGATCAACAGTCCTAAACCTAAAGAATCAGTTTACAGTGATATAAAACAGAGAAGGCAGGAAATCCTCACATTTGAAGCTAGAACCAGACAAGGCTTAGAATAAGTTAAACAATAAATCAGTAATTAAAATTGTTGCTAAGTTATGTGTCAATACGCTGATAAATTCCATTAAATTCCAATTTTAAATGTTGAGTAGTAATTCTTGTCATGTTAGATTTCATTTTGGATCAGGCAGTAAATGGTTTATGTCATGTATCATAGTGGACCTCATCTTTTTACATTGCATGGGTTCCCCTCTTTAGAAAATTTGCGTCATGTCACCAAAGCAACAGCGCTTGTATGATGTAATGCCAGGCAACACACATATACACACACACACACGCACACACACCCGCAGTCTGTCTGCACAGCTGTGATGCAGTCTATCAATACGTTTTTAATGTGTCAATCTGTGGCTCAGTCACCTCCTCAGACTGATTTTGAAGGATAATTTCACCC